TTCTCGGGGAGTTGAGTTTGCAGTTCCCCGTCTCTCTTCACCTCTCCTTTTCTTTTCCTTCGCTCCGCAGTTCCAAGGCGAACACACGCTTGTGTAATCACATAACTACACGAGAATGCACGTGTTCTATCTCCAGGGATTGTTCACCGAGAAACGGGTTGCATCAGTCGACCCACATATAGCGATAAAAGAATTGCATATTTCACGCTTTACTGTTCGTCTAACTAATATTTTCACAAGCTAATTTACGTAGATTTGATTAACTTCCCCCTGAGCTTTGACTGGAATTCTAATGACTCGTTTGTGAATAAATAAAACAAACAAGGTTTAGTGACACATGTTTCCTCGTTCCTGATTCCCATGTCGGGAGTTTCAGGGTACGCGTGACCTCACCCAAAAAGGTCGCACGTACATCCAAAAACCTTGATGACTTCCTCAATTAAGGTGTTTCGTGCGAAAAAGGTTAATAATGAGATTCATCTGGAATTCATGGAGAATGTTTATAATCACTATTGAATTATCTATGAATTTTTCTAGAATTTTTTTACATTTCATTTTTAAGTTATCAATTCCTCATTTACGGGGTCGATGCATTGTATCGACCCATGCGAGTGTGAACGCTTGTTTTCAAAATTGATTATTTCCAAATCTGTGAAGAGTAACTTGATCAGACAAACGAAATTGGGAACCGGAATACTGTAGCTTCAATTATTCTTAGCGTCCAATGGTTCTTAAGGACGAGCGAAGTCTTCACTTTTAAATTTCACCGCGGTCTTCCCTTAAAAAAAACAAGTAGGAAATTGTTCTTGTATTGCATATAGTACAGTAATTTTTGCTAATAAATCAGCAATATGCTTCCGAATGGTTACATTGCATATAATTTCCTTCTATCATGTATAATTGAATGAATGTGAAACATCACATCTGAAGATACCATCAGAAAGCTCACTTTCAGGAAAATTCATGAAAAATTTGAAATTTTCAACAATCATCACAAAAATCAACTTAACCAATCAGGATAACGATTATTTCTGTCGCCTTTATCTTCGAACTCGGTCAACAGGACATTCAATTAATTCAGAACATTTTTTGCAGTTAAAAATTATCCAATTTCATCGATTCATTATCGAACAATCGAAAAATACATACATGCGTACGAACACGGTCTAAAAATTGCATTTTCGGAGATTTTGGCTCATAATGGATCGACATAACAAAAAAAAATCCAAAACTTAAATTCGAAGGATTCCAATGCTTCCATTCGGAAGCAACAAGAAAAACCTAGCTGAAACCATCCACAATAGATGAATCAATGTGAAACTATCTAACTCATTTGAATTTATGTTTCAGATGTTCTGAGAAGACGAATTATGGTGGCTGAGTTCATTGCCCGCCAGAGTGGATCGCCCATAAACGGTGAAACCGCCTGTTTAAACGGCAACATGCCAGCGAGTCATACGATGGCCCATCCGGGTCATGGGCCGCACAGTGGTCACGATGCTCACGGTCAAATGCCAATGAGCCATCAGACTCACCATGGCCAGCAGCATCAGCCGAGCCAGCAGCAGATGCAGCACCAGCAGAGTCAATCGCAGGGTCAACAGCAGTCACAGCCCCACCACCATCATCCTCAGGGTCAAGGCCAACAGCAGGGACAACAGATGCATCACGATTCGCAGGTGACACATCCCGAAAATTATCCCCCAAACTTTGACATAAGGAAGGAACTTTTCTCACAGCGCAAGCAGCGCGAATTTATTCCCGACAACAAGAAGGATGACAGCTATTGGGACAGACGTAGACGCAACAACGAGGCTGCCAAGCGATCCAGGGAGAAGAGACGTTTCAACGACATGGTGCTGGAGCAGAGGGTCATGGAGCTCAGCAAGGAGAATCACATTCTCAAGGCCCAGTTGGACGCTATCAGAGACAAATTTGGTATATGCGGTGATCAAGTGATAAGTGCTGAACATGTTTTAGCGGCACTGCCATCGGAGCCAACAATGAGTGTAAAAAGGGCCAAATTGCCACCATCAGCAGCCCTCCTGTACGCGAGAACACCGAGTCCAGTGCACACGTCTGTCATTCATCAGCCAGTTAGTGGTGCCAGATCACCGAGATCACCAGCCCAACTCTATGTACCAGAGACAAGCGCCTATCCAGAGACTGAAAGCTTCCAGTATCCCTATCCTCATCCAGCAATGCACTTTGACACAACAAGTGCACTCAATCTTTCGAGAGGTAGACGAGCTCAGTCGCCCTTTGAATTGTCCTCAGGCAGTGGTGATGAGAGTACGCAAATTGTCGCTGCTCAGAGTGCAACAACTGGCAATTGTCTACCCCACAAATTGAGGCATAAGTCGAGAATTGGTGACAAGGATGCGGCGAGTGCACTTCTTGCACTTCAGGGAATTAAGCAGGAGCCGGGCCCCAGGGCATCGCCACCCTGGGACAACGAGGGCTCCAGTGATGAGAGGGATTCCGGTATTTCACTGGGTGCTGAGTGGAATCCATCTACCAATGTTACAGCTGTTCCTGAGACTGAACGAGAGGTCAAGTCTAGGCTTGACAGACTTGCATCTGAGGTCGCATCACTACAGTCAATTCTACGTCTTGGTAAAGCAGGGGAGACACATGCAGGTCAGATTAATCATCAGGGCACGACTACAAGCATCACAAGCAGTACCGGGGCTGGCTCTGGACTACAATGAAGCTGATTAAAATCACACGTTATTTTTCGTTTTTTTTTTTAACGTTAAGTTTATCGTCGTGCCAAGATTCAACCTTGGGGTTTTACTCGATAATGTACCGTTCAATGGCTGTCCAGTCGTGGCGTTGATTCAATGCCTTCGTGAGAATAATTTTAGATTTAATACACTCGGCGAACGTTATTCAACTCTCAAGTAAACTCGTCGTATTAAGGAGATAGAATTAGTTGTTTATTTCCAAACAATCGTTTCCAGTGTCCCATACCCTTTACCCATCCCACTTCCATTTCTGTCATTGTAGGTTCTATTATTATGTTATTGTGTTATTAATGTTTAGAGAAAATTAATCGAGTTTCGCGAATTGTTGTTGTGACATGTTTAATCGCGCAACCGGCTATCCACTACCATCAGAATTTTATCACCAGCGAGAGGTAGATTAAATTAATGTTTCAATATACACTCGCTAAAACCAAATTCTTTCGTTTAGTTTTTCATTTTTAAGGTAAAAAAAATCTCATTGATTTATTTCACTTTTTTAATTCTCGTGAGTTTTGTAAATATTTGAATGCCCACGGTGCTTCGATGCATCATTATTCGAAGATGAAGACACTTAACGTTAAAATCGAGTGTAATTGTTTCTTTCTTTCTTTCTTCTTATTTTTTTTTATTAAGGAAAACAAGGCCCGTAAGCAACAGAATTTTGTATAAAGTATTAAGCGGAGCCCTGTGAGTATATGTAATATTTATATTTGTACACGAGATGAATATCTAATTATTAACAAGGATAAACCTTCCCCTCCCTAGAATCTGTGTAAATTTTTGAGTGGAAAATTTAAATCAATTTTCTATCGCACATTTGAAATTAATCGTAATCTTGGTGGCCAAAGTGTTTGATTATTGAAATTACGATTTAATCTCAATATCGACGATTTTTCGTGGCTGGAAATTGTAGCATGGAGATTTATTTAAACGTGAGATATACCTCCCCCATGAGAAATCGTCAATTGTATTATAAAACGAATGAAATCAGTACCAAGTACTAAATTAGTCGATTAACAAGAATCGTACATGCGAAATTGTGTGCAGAATATTATACACCAATCTACGTAAAAAAAACTACGATTAAGAGTCCCCCACTCCCCACCCTTAAACCCTCGCCCTCCCTTTCTCCCTAAAAAAAATTATTTATTACAATTAACAATTCGTAAGTAGGAGAGTATCGACGGCTTTTTGTCCATTTTTAAGATGAAAATAACAAAGGGCGCTTATGAATACGAAAATTGTGGTGTTGATGCAGAAAAAAAAGCTAATGAATTCATTTGAAAACCGAAAGCCCCGATGAGCCCAACACAAGACTGTTTTATTACTGTTTCAGTGTTCTTATCACGAACACAGGATACATTGGTTTGTTTTTTATATAATAAAAATGTAGAAGCAGATTCAACTGAAAGAAATTTGTAATTATAAAGTGGAAATAGTGTAATGGAAGATATTTATATGATGAAAGGACTGGTGAAAATAAAATTAAACTGCAATGAAATCGTCTCCTGTATCAGTTAATACAGAAACCGATAATTACACGTTCAATTGAACCCATGCACCACGAATAAGCCTTTGAATAATATTTTTGTAATTTCTTACACAATTTCAAAGAGCATTAAAATCTATGGAACAATTTATCCAGAAATTATCAATCTTTGATAAACAATAGTAATGACCAATTTCTATTGAATTGAAGAACCACCAGTGCCTGGTATAAAAAGAAGGGAATGAAATTCAGAAATTACGTAGGCGCTATCGACAATCTATGCAGATGAAATGATTGGAATTATTCGAGAACAAAGTACCGTTTAATTGTACATTACATAGGCTCTAGTCGCTGGAAAATTTTTGCACTCGACTCCTCTTATCTGTGCATCTTAACTGTGGGCGTTAATTGTTTTTATTCTTTCATTGTCAAAGATTCATCTGTAGCTTTTTACTATTCAAATAAAATATTTGTAAATATCTCTGAGCTGAGCTCTTTTTTTTATTTCCGGAGGGAGAAGAAGTGTTTTTTTCTTTTTGTACATTTGGAGAATAATATTGTGGAGAGAGCATGGTTTATCTTATCACGACTTCCTGACCACTACATCCCAGTTTATTCGGACGATTGGGACGAGTTTTTTTTCCATGGATGTGGAGATGTGCGTGGTGGGCATTGGAGTGAAAATATGTGGAGATAGTGAGAGAATGTTTTTCGAGCGATGGAAATTTTTTTAATTGGGTCGAATTGGTTTTGAAGAAGTTGAGTTAAACGATGTATTCGAAAGTTTATTTTCTCTTTGAGATATGCGTCTAGGTGTAAAGACATATCAACAGCGTGTAGTGTACTTGTATATGAATATTGAAATAAATATTTTCAATGTTTTTGACAGTAAACTATTGTTGTTTTTTCATATTTCCCAAATTGACGACTGTTTAGAATCTAATTGATTGTGTATTGCTTTGTAGATTTTAAATCATCAAAATTCCTTAAAAAAGCTTGAGAAAAATTTTGAGAAATTAATATACAATTAACATCATCCAAATTCAATTTGCCAGATATTTTCTTTTAGAATATTTCTTTCTTCTGAGAGAGTAATAAAAATTTTCCAACTTCCAAAAATTCTTCTTTTATATTCAGAAGGATTCCTCTCGTATATATATTCTATATTCTAATTAATTTGAAATGAAACAGCAGGGTCTCACTCATCACTCTTATACTTTATTTTCTATTGTAATTTGTATAATCGATTTGTCGAAGTAAAAAATCATAAGGATTAAATAAATCAAGCATTCAAGTAAATCATTAATTGATTCATTCCTTAATTGTTAAAATCATTATGCAAAGTGTCAATTCTCTCCTTTATGAGCTGTTTTCAGAAAGAAACCATTAGATGGAGGGCTTGTAAAATTAATTAGACTTTGTCTTCTCTATGAATGCAGTGTTCACGACCCGCGTAGAACTGAGGAGATGAAATTCAACAGAGATTCGATTACTCATTTTCGTTTTTTGCATTTGGTTCTGCCACGACGACGACGCGAGGCGTTTGGCCGTGCATCAGTTTTCTTCGAAGATCTGTAGATTGATAAATATTACATTATTAAACAGTGATTTCTATTACTAATTAAATTGTGAAGTTGATCTTTATTACCTATGAACTCGATTTACTGTGACAGAAGTGTGTTTTTTCAACGTTAAATGTTGCTGTACCAATTCAGCTAATTTTCCTTGCTGGGCTAACATCGAGAGAAAGGTACAAATGAATTCGTCGTAATTATGCGTTCGTCTGCAGTCATCAATCTATCCAGAGAAGCCAAAAGTTCAAATTAAAAATCGGTACGAATACTGAGAGGAGTAATGGAAGGAGATGGGTACAGAAATTTTACATAGATTATTTTGTAAATATCTCTGAAACTAGGAGGTGTAGGATAAAATATCGACATATCAAATATGTCGTAATTCTCAAAAACATATAAAGAAGAAATGTCGACGGCCATTTGCTCCAGAAAATTTAACTTCCTGTAAATAAATCTGAATGTTCTAGGATTTCGCAGTTCGATGGAAAAAAGCAATTCGATGAGATAAAGTAGTTTCATAGATCGATGGAAGAAAGAAATAAGGAACTAGAAATCTGCAGGGGGGTGTATTATTCATTCAACCGTAATTTTACGTGGATAGTCTATGGTCTTTATTTTTTTTTTTTGGGAAAGAAAAAATTAAATTTCTTGGATTCTCCAAATTGAGTTTTCCAAAAAGTTCTATAATTTTCAAAAATATTTTACGTTGATGCAGCAGTCTGAAAGCCCCTCATCGTCATGCGAATTTTCAATAGAATTCAAGATTATTTTGGAAAAACCACGTGAGCTCTGTCGTATCGTCTTAAAACCCGGAGAATTTTCACAAATTTCGTAAAAAACTGGGAAATTTTCTAGAATTTGCTACACCTGCGATAGATGGCGCTGCGGTATAAGACTTTTTTCCGAAATAACTCCCTATGGAGTTAAACTTTCTAAAACTATAAATGTATCCACGCCAAATAAGTCTCCGGAAATTTTTTCGTCTAAACCTAGAAATTTCAGAGATATCTTCACAATAATCTGTATCGAATTGATTTTCGACTCATCTTCTTTGCCTTGTGATGCATAAAGCATTCAATAATTCATGATTCTTACTTTATATTTGTTTCGCTTATCATTCTCATCCTTCAAGCAGGTCTCACAAATACTGATTTCATGCTCAAGATTCTTCAGCAGAGCGAGAAGATCTTTGGGGGCGAAGGTATGTGGTTCAAACAACTCGGGATATTTCGAGCACAATTTCGAATCAATTTTCTCCACCTTTTTCTCCTCCGTGACAGTATCTCCATTGCTAGTTTTCACCCTGGCATGGGGTATCCGTACCTCCCCAGACAAACAAACCTTTTTATGCAAATGCCCAGAATCAGATACCAGTCGTTTTCCATTTATGTTAATGTTGCCGAGGGAACGACCTGGAAAAACATCATTTCGTTCACTCCATCTCCTTCGTAAACACACAAATGATGAAAACAAATCACTCACTCAGACCTGCCTCGTTCTTCTCATCCCCAGCGACTCGAATAACAACAAATTTTTTAAAGTCCTTGGTGGATGTGGGACTGCTCTGGCCAGAATTCCATCCCCAAGCTAAAAAAAGACCAGTTGTATATAATGAAGATTGGAAGCCCTCATCTCAGTGTTTTAATTATGAAATTATTTCGCGGAGGGATTTCTCACTCGAAAGAGTCTTGATTTTTTTTGTTTCTATTTTTTACGAATGACTTTGATATTTTGTTCTAAAACTTACTTTTCTGGGAATTTCGCATTCGGTAATTTTCTGGATTTTGCCGTAATGAAACTGACAGTTCTTGATATTCGTTATTTGTCCTGAGTATTTGTTGTTATCACATGGGATCATAAACAAATATGTAATTCATTTTCGACTCAGCTCTTCATGATTTTGAAAATAACATTTTTTCTAATTGCAGGGGACTATGATTTCGCTTTATTCTTCAAGATTTCAGATCGGGAAGTTTACTTCCCTTACCATTAACAATCTAAGCGTGTGTAAGTTGTCTGTGGGCGCCTGTTTCTCTCTCTCTCTCTCTCTTTCTCTCTCTCTCTCTCTCTCTCTCTCTCTCTCTCTCTCTCTCTCTGTTCCTCTTTTTCCTCTGTCAAACCGTCGATGTATGAGTAGGGGCTTTCCGAACACTTAAATTCGTGGAATTCGTCATAGATGCTGAAATCTCAGCGAGTATCCGCTGTATGTTATTACTAGAGATGCGGAATCACCGTCATTTTCCCTATCCGTCAGGTCAGACGTAAATGACCGGATTCTAACCGTTTTCTGACCCTGACCGAATTTTGTATGCAAAATAACCGTCACAGTTAAGCTGCGTCAGAGACTAGTCAAAAAGACCAAAAATTGTCGATATAGTTGCCAGTTGACCGTCATTTTTATTTTCGTCATATTTCGGGTAATATTTTGAGGGCTCGATCGAAGGACTTTTTAACAGAATTGAATTATCATTTATTAATTTATTTATTGATTATTCTTCATTATCTTATTTATTAATTATTCTCAATGGCCCCGTTTTTAATGATACACTGTTAAAAGAAACATGAAATCTCAGATTTCACTGAAAATTCAATGAAATTCTTCATTTTATCTGAATTTTTATCGGAATTTTTCGGTTTTCTATTAATTTTCAGGGAATAATTGAACTAAAATTTACAGTTTTCATTGATTTTTCTCCGAAATTCCGAATTTTCAATGATGAAATTCCATGAAATTTGAGTGGAATTTGAACACGATAAAAATGTTCAAAAAGTGATCTGGAAATTTGAGCTAAAATTTTTAACAGTGTAGAAATTACTGGATTAGTACTCGAAAATTGAGGGTCATCTATAACATCGAAATTGACCGTCCAAATTTGTTTGGTCATTTCATGCTTATGGTCAACCGTCACTTTTTTTTCTGACCACGTAGTCAGATTATAGGCGCGGTAATTACCAGTCATGGGGGTGGACATTGACGCACGAAGAGAAATATTCAATAAAAATTACGTAACTTTTCCGTAAATCTGGAGCGCAATGTGGTTGTAGGAAATTTTACGGAACTGTCACGAAATTTTTCCAGAGCATTCCGTCATTTTTATCTGAATCTCCTGTGGAAAATTACGACACCGTCACTTAAATTTTCTGAGTCGATTCCGTAATCGGTGAGTGAACTGTGGGTTCCGTAATTTTTACTGAACACTAGACTAGAATATATCCAGTGTAACGTTTTTTGAAGCCAATCTAGTCGCCGTATTGTGTCATTAGATTTTTTGTAAATGATTATAGCATACATTAAAGATATTACGATAATAGTATATTATATTATATTCCATACTATATTATATATATTATGTATAATATATAATAGAGTACTATATGCGTTATAAAATATAATGTACATAATAACAAAAATTAACTAATAAACTAATAACAATAACATACATTGAGTATACGATATTGTACTATATTACATACACGATTATATATGCATAATGTATTATAATATAGTATTATCGTAATATCTTTAATCTATCCTACCATCATTTATAAACATCTAATGACACAATACGACGAATAGATTGGTTTCAGAAAAAGTTACACTGGATTTTTTAATGAAGAATTTTTCTCCGTGCGGTCATTCGATCGGTAACTTTTGTCACTGACATCTCTAATTATTTCTGAAGTAAAATTTCAAGAGACTATTTTATTAGCTGGAAATTCTCCGCAAGAAAGGTCTTCCTAAATTTTTCGTCTAGCCCGCTTGTTTTCAGGAACATCAATTCGACTGATCCCCTTCTATCTCGTCACAACAAACCCAAAATTTCTCCCCTGGATTTACTTAACCCACTCCATTTTAAAGCACTTCGCCGTCTATTTAGCACTGAGAAACCTCTCGAGCTTCTGCAAAAATTGAGACCCCTAACTGTTCTCTAGAGGTGCTAATGATCCTGCGGACTCATCCGGAAGTCAAGTCAGAGAGCTCAATACCACAGACACCTCAGTATTCAGTGAAACACAATGGAGAACACTCTACCAATTCTCCTGTTTTCCTTGACATTCGCTGGTGCATCAAAGTGCCCAGAGGCAAGAAAACCACACGTAACAGGGTGTTCTATTTATTACGAGTGCATTAATCTCCCTGAAGGGGGGTATGTATGGGCTCCTGCGAAGTGTCCGGAGGGACTGGTAAGTACCTTTAATCAATTAAACCTTCGTCACTCACGTTTGGACAAGCCAGACACACCCCAGACCTTTTTCTATTATTCTTCATCATTCTTTCATTGATCCGGAGGAAAATTTTCGAATGAACATTTTCCTACAAAACTTCAGCCATTTCATTACAGTGCCGGCTTTTCTCTTCGAGTTTCCATTTTATTTCGTTTTCAAAAAAATTGGTTTAAATAGATGAAATAAACCTTCCCAGCTAACAATTTACCGGTAAATTTTCGGATATTTATCGGTCTTGCTGGGGAATTTTAGATGGCATCCGTAAAAATCGTTCCCTGGGTTAAGAAGTGCCGAAGCCTTTAAATGTACATAGATGAACAATTTTAAGGAAACAAATTAACGGGAAACGAATGAAAACTCATTTTCCTTCTTTATTTTTGTCATCGTTTTTCGAAGGTTTAGAATGTAATTCTCAATCAGTATTTCTGGCTGATGTCTTTAGATATAACACAAGCTTATCACTGTTGATAATTTTTCGGTGAAATTCTCGTGCAAGCATCATTGAAATTTCAAGGAATTTCGGAATTAGTTCCGCCTTGTAACCGCCCTAGAATATTCCTGTTGACACTGTGCAACTTTTAATCCTAGTCTGGTCACCAAACGCGTCCCCGTGACTTGGTCACCTCCTCGGGAATTTGCCGCCGTTATTTAGGCTTAGGTGTTGCCGAATTCACTCTACACTGCCCGGGCGCGTTTAGCGAGTTTCCGACAACGTCGCATCATGGGCAATTTCATTTAACATGGGAAAAAATAATTCATCTGTTCGAAATAATTTGTTTTTCCTTAGGAATGTTGGGAAATAGCTTGTTCTAAAAACTACTATAATTTTTTGGGCACTTCACTTGACAAAGTCATTTTTATTATTATTTTTCCGGTTAGCCAGTCAATTGTAATTATAGAAAACGCGCGGCGGGGTTTTCCTCGTAGGGTGACCAATCTAGGGTTAAACACCGACTGCAGTCAGAGACGTCCTACTAGGTCATTCGACCTTTGAAGTCATTTTTGTGAAAATTGATAAAAAAAATGTTCCGCATTCAAACTGAGTTTAACCATCTCAAATCTTTCCCCCAGATGTTTCAGCCTTATCTACGCCTCTGCGTCCTCCCAGGGGACACTTGGACCTGCGTGGACCGCCCAACTGACCCTTTAGCAAACTTAAAACCCTCAAAAACTCCGGAATTACTCGACGAATCCAAGACGAGTTACCACGAATTGAATCCAAGTTCTTTCGATTCTACTGGATACCTCAACCTCGGCAATTTCCTGCCAATAATTCCGTATCCACTGATAGAAGTTCAAAGTCTCAATGACAAGGAAAACGACGTTCAAACCCCCCTGAAAATTCCGAATAACATAAATTCAATGGGAACGAATACGATTGAAAAATTGAATGGAGTCAGTCAAGTAATTTTCTACAGAAATCCAGGACCCGCCTCTTCATCATCTCCAGTAATCGATGCCTCGAACAATGAATTCATCGTGCAATTCATTCGTAATTATATTTTCAATAAAACTATTCATTCAAGAAGTGACAGAAGACGGGTGAAGAATAGCTCGAGCACGACAGAGAGGATTAATGGCCCTGGAGATGGGCCAGAAGTTATTGCGACGAGTGAAATACCCCCGAACGACGAATTTATTGATGAAGCAAATAATGTAATAGCGATAATAGGTAATTTAGGTAATAGAGAGTACGTAACAACCGAAAAATACAAATCACTGTCGACACAACTGAAGATTGAGGTGATCGAAGTTGTCCCCTGCACAACAGGCATTCGCCTGCCAAATGCCACAAATTGCATGAAGTACTACATGTGCGAGCCAAAAACAGCTGAGGTGTATGACTTCACATGTCCCCAGAATACAGCCTTCAATGCGCAGATTAATTTATGTGATCACCGAAAGTATAAATCATGCAGAAAGATGATCGAAGGGATCCAAGTGGAAAAATTGATTCTGGTTCGAGAAGAGGGGGATCAGACACGAGAGGATAATCCTTGTGAGAAGATCGGAAAATACGCGGATAAAACTTCAGAGAAATTTTACTATTTGTGTTACACAGATGGGCATTCGGAAAAAATCAAATCTGTGAGATTATCTTGTCCTAATAATTTAATGTTCTGCGAGAAAAGAAAGGCCTGTGTGTCTCAACGTTTTTGTCATGATGTGGAATAACTCAATTGAAGTAAAAAAAATAGTACAGTAGATCATAAACTAATAAATTAAGGGACCCAAATTATTTTTAGTGAAGATTTTTCCCAATTATTTATCAATTATTTTTAAAAATCAGACACGAGAGGATAATCCTTGGGAGAAGATCGAAAAATACGCGAATAAAACTTCAGAAAAATGTTATTACTTGTGTTACACAGATGAACATTCGGAAAAAATCAACTCTGTGAAATTATCATGTCCCAATAATTTAATGTTCTGCGAGAGAAGAAAGGCCTGTGTGTCTAAACGTATTTGTCATGATGTGGAATAACTCAATCGGAACAAAAAAAATTACATTGGGATCATAAATTGATAAATTAAGGGACTCAAAGGATTTTTTAGTGAAGATTTTTCCCAATTATTTATCGATTATTTAAAAAAATCAGGCAGAAGTGAATGGTCCTTGTAAGACTGGAAAATACGCGGATAAAACGTCAGAAAAATTTTACTACCTGTGTTACACAGATGAACATACGGAAAAAATCAAATTTATGAGATTATCATGTCCCAATAATTTAATGTTCTGCGCGAAAAGAAAGGCCTGTGTGTCTAAACGTGTTTGTCGTGATGTGAAATAACTCAATCGAAGCAAAAAAAAGTACATTGGGATCATAAATTGACAAATTAAGGGACTCAAAGGATTTTTTAATAAAGATTTTTCCCAATTATATATCAATTATTTTTAAAAATCAGACACAAGTGAATGATCCTTGAAAGACTGGAAAATACGCGGATAAAACGTCAGAAAAATTTTACTACCTGTGTTATACAGATGAAAATTCGGAAAATATCAAATTTATGAGATTATCATGTCCCAATAGTTTAAGGTTCTGTGAGAAAAGAAAGGCCTGTGTGTCTAAACGTGTTTGTCATGATGCGGAATAACTCAATCGAAGCAAAAAAAAAAATAGTACAGTAGATTCATAAATTAATAAATTAATTTCCCAATTTCATTATTTGTAATTAAATTATCTCGACGATGATGAATTTTTTGACCAAAATTAAGAGACACTTTTTGTAGTTGGAAGAAAAAGAGCTCTTAAAAAATTACTCAAAACTCAAATTAATCTAAAAAAAATCGCTTTAAATTCATCTCTTCTTGATTAAGTTAAATATAAAATTTTAGATAATTATGTAATAATTCCAAAAGCATTGCTTCTACCCGAAAATAGTACCGTGCCTAGTCCTTTCACAATTCCCGTCGAAAAACATCTCTTCCTCTCATCATTGAAATTAATGCACAATCATTACCTTGAGTGGGCGAATTGAAGGCGGATCCAATTTCCGAGGAAGTATCAGTGCTGGACGAGCTGTGAGCAGGTGAAGTTTGAATCCTCAGAGGAGTAGCATAATCCAGAGCGCACATGACAACCTTCTCCATGCCATGTGCCTCATTCTTCACCTGATTCCCAGTCTCCTCGACCTCCCCGTGCTCACTAGGTTCAACATTAACCGTAGGAACACTCACCCCTTCCGCCTCCTTCCCCTCCTCCACCTTGACCCTCTTCTCCCCTTTCTCCCCATCGAGATGATTCTTCTCATTCTCCTGATGACTGAGTTTCACCAGCTGCTGCAGTGCCTCCAGGACGATCTGTCTGTTGGTCTTCAGCATCGTTAATTTGTGGGAAATAGCTAGCCTCCTGTCAGGAACAACTGCCATCAAGTTGAACCTGATGTCCTGGAGTTGTTCTCCAGTGGAGATCCCCAGACGATCAGTTATGACTCTTCTGAACTGCTCGGTCCACTCCTCGTGCTCCTTCCAGGGGCCGTGGTCCACTGGGTAGGGCTTCAGTCCATCCAGCTCGAATAATCTTCCACTGATTGGGACGTAGCTGACAAAGTGATAAGCTTCACCTGTGAATCTTCCTGTTGTCACACCAGTGTTCTTGTCCTGTCGTCTCTTGGCTTGGGGCATTGCGTGGGAGTTGTGGGCACAGGCTAGCTCAGGAGTATTGCCAATGGCCCATCCCTTGTTCTCGGGGCACATGCCAGAGGTGTGGAGTTTCAGGCGTGATAGCGTCGAGCCCAGGTGGATGTTGGGGCAGTTCAGGAGGACTGAGAGGAGGGCGTGGGTTGCACAACTGTTTGGAACGACCTGGGGGATTGAAATTTATGGGCAAAGGGGTAGAGATACACTTCTTGAAAATTTTTAACAGTTAATTGAGCGAAAGTTCCACTCAGAGTTGAATGAATTTCGAAATTGAAAATTCACAATGTGATTGAAAAATCGATGGAAACTGGAATTTTAGTTCAATTATTTTTCAACTTTTTTACTTTTAAAAAATGTGTTCCGTCCCACCATGTCCTACATCAGATGTGAAATCAGATGATAACTGTCACTCAAGAAGACGTTGATAAACCAAATTTTGAGTAATTGTAGGGGAAATTCAGGCAAAATGAAACAGAAGGGCAAAATGAAACAGTCGCAAAATGACTGTTTGATGCAACAAACAATAAAATTTGTTATATTAACTTTTATTTATTAACTTGTTTTTAATATTGGGAGTACTGATGAAAATAATAATTTTCCATTCAGTAGAATCGAAAATTATTGAGAAGTTTCGACGGGAGAAGATTTTGTCAATGGATTCATTAAAAAGAAAATGAAATAGCAAAATCCAAAGTCCAGAGAAGCAGTGAAACGGTAAAACGGTTCAACTAGATTTTGACTATTGGCTTGTATTCAATGAATATCTCGGAATCTAAGGGAGATAGCAAAATTTTTGTCAAAACCTTTTTTGTTCCCCATAATTCGCTCTATAAAAAAGGTTATTACGAAAATTTGTTATCTCCCTTAGATTCGGAGATATTCTCCAAAAACTCAACCGAAGCCTAAATCGACTTGAACCGTTTTCCCGCTTCGCTACTGAAATGAACTTCGCCAATCGCAATCAGAGGCTGTTTCCCTCACACTAGAAAGTTGAAAAATAAAATTCCAAAAATACAGTGTTTCCCCAGATGAAAAAGAATTCAAGGCTTCACCTGCTGTGCGAAAAATATATTATTCACGATCTCCTCATCCTTGAGAAAACTCTCATCCTGCTCCACAACTTTTCTCCTGGACCTCCTCTCCTCGATCCATCGAAAGAGAAATATAAATCCGTAGACCGGGCCCTCGAGTGACTTCTGAAGATCGTAGATCTCCTCGACCTGGACCCCCTTTACCCCGAAGTCCTCCAGAAGCAGAGTAAATAGTCCTGGTGCATCGTAAAAGAACAATAAACTTCAAAACCCATATTCATATTCAAATACCTGGTATTCCACAACGCAACTGTCCTACCTGGGTCACTTTCGAGCTCCAGCCAGCCCTCGGTCAATCTATTGATATCCACCGGCATTTTTCGGGTCTCATTACTTCCCGGAATAATAAAGTAATCTACCTGGAAGACTCATTGTCACCCAACGACGCCATATTAAGGCACCAAAACATCAATTACATGGGGTGGGGGGGCGTTCGTGCTTCCACAACTATACACATCCGCGGCTGTCCACAGATTTGTGAAAAATGTGAGGGAACAACTGTACACAACCACATCTGTGCACGATCCTTGCAGTCGGTCAAATAGTGTCGGTAGAGTAGAAATTGCGTTCGTTTTATTTGCAGTCGATATTAATTATGGATGGCGCCATGTGTCACAATATTGAGCGCTCGCTAAATAGGAAAGCAGATCCGATCAAATAGCCCCTCATGTATACATATTCCATTTTTATTTTTTTCCTCATTGAAGTAGTTTTGAAGAAAATTGCGAGCTAATAAAAAACATTTGCTAGTTAGTACTTTTTTTAAAATAAATTTTTGAACAATCACCTCTGAAAAAAAGAGCGTTATCCTCCCTATTTCAGTATTTCCAAAATATTTTATCACCAATCGGTAGCAAATTGTTTGAAGATTTTTGCGAGTTAAGAAAAAATCGTCAATGCACTCCTATTATTGTGTAAATTAACAATTCCAATTTCAACTGAAAACCAGAGTTGATGACCAGAGTTTGTAGCAGATATGTCAGACAAGATATGAATGTTTTTTTTGGCTCAAATGAAAGAGACAAATCTCTCTAAAGATGATGTCTGTTTTCAATTGAAAAGCGCAATTGTGACATCATTGTCCAGTGGGGTCTAGGAGTCTCCCCTGGTTCAAA